TAATTATATAACCAACTAATTACTCATAAAAATTTTAAATCCACTATTTCCTCAGAATGTTCTGATTTTGAATTTTGCAGAACATATGCCTAGAGATATAATTCGAAAAATAAAAGGAAATTAGAACAATTATTTGAGTAATAATTTTACCCTCTGAGTCATTCAATTTTCGGAAGAATTTGAATAGTGTAATCTACAGTCGTTTGAATATTCAGGCATTTTTTGAGTAAGCTGCTTTGAGTAACCTAATTTTAAACAACAACAAATGGAGTGAAAAATGAATTTAAAATGTTCAAACGTTTGGCCATTTTTCTTTTAGATTACAGAACGAACATGAAAAATAACAAATTAATATTTTTTTGATATTGACTTCTATGTGATTTATTTCTTATTAAAGCATCATTGAATGCAATGAAAACATCTCTTAGAATTTTTATATATACGTGATATTATCAAATACACCTTACGAAAATTTTTATATATCTATCTGCTAACAAAATGATGAAATGGTAAACGCTGATCTAGAAAGGCTGATGTTTTTATTCATCTTAATGATGGTAGAATTATCAATCACATGATTAATAATAAAAATATTATCTTATATTAAAGCCAAATTTTATGTAACATTTATGATTAGATTCTCGGATTTCATGACTTGAAGTTCATATAATAACGAACTAATAGAGCAGAGTTTTTCTAACACGTTCCATCCACGCCCAAATTATCAATCACTAAATTCGTTGCTTAGAGAAAATGTGGATTACATCTTTGATATATGCTTAATTTCCAGAAAAATAAGTTATGCATTTGACGTAACTCTCATACATGCGTCTCATAAAATATGCATATTTTTCTTCTATGTTCTAGTACAAAACATTAAAAATTAACTTAGGAAAGATACACAAGGAAGAAGAAAAAACAGATTCATCATTTTGACATTGGAGCCGACGATATAGTTTATATTATAGAAACTATACATTCCTATAAATTCAGTTATCGCAAAATGATATAGATATTTGTCATCGTAAAATAATAATAATAAAGCTATTTTGTGATTATGTTACTTACTAATCGTTTCCTAATGAATCTTCTACAGAAATAATAATTTTCACAAATTTGTCACATAACTGAAAATCTGAATTAAAGGTATTAAAAGTAAACTGAATTCACATAGCCTTTTTATATAACTTTTAAAGTCACTGCATTCACCTAACTGGAAGAGAATACATTTAAAATACCATAATTGTTAAAAATTAGATAATTTTCCTAATTTATTGTTTTTACACATTGTTTTCTTTTATAAGCTCTTTTTCGTTCTGGTGATAAGCTCTGATAGAAGAAATAGTTTAAAAAACCTAATAACTAAGAATTTCTATTTTTATCATGTAGTTAGAGTGTGGTTCTGTGAAAGTTTATTAAAGATATACTAGGAGCTACTTCCTTTCTGCATTTTAGTCATTACACAGAGAATAACACGCGTTCATAAAATAAACCTTTTTTAAAGTTATTGTTACTGAACATTGTACTAGAGAAAACTCTGTTGAACCTGAGAAAATAAGTGTCCTTTTCTACAGATTAAATTTCTACGCTTCTCATATTTTAAATTTGCTTGAGCACTGAAATTGTTTGAAAGAGAGTTCAAGAAATATATTAAATCCTGTTCTTCAGTTACCGTGTACAGCTAAAATATTTTTCTAAAATAGTCTATAAGTTTCACTTCATGATAAATATCAGTTTGAGAGAGCACTTAAGATAGTCTACTGTTAAGAACTACACTGAATATGAAATCACACTTACGGTACTAAAAATACATCAAAAATCAAATATTTTATTATCAGGATTCACATCTTTATTTGTTCCCTTTAGATATCATCTGCATGCACCTCTGTTATGTAAATTGAACACGAGTGTTGTATAGACAAAATATATTTGAATGATAAATGAAATTAACTAAACTTTCGGTTTAAGAATTTGAATGAATAAATCTGGTTCTTAGCAACCGTTTGAGAGAAAAAAGCACAGGTAAAAATTCTTGCTGGTGTGGTGCCATACATGTCATATCCGAAATATAAATTATGTGAATGATCCCTCATTTCACTTTGGAATTTAACACTTTTACAGTGTTGTATAAATCCACTTGAACTCGGCGCGTAAAACGGAAGGTTCCTTACAATGAAGCTTGTCGTCAGGGGTTATGGTAACAATGACGTGAGACGAAGTTTAAGGATACTGATGTATAGTAAATACCATTCTGAACTAAAAAATATTTCAATGAAAATTTGATTTCGCATATAAAATCGCTTACATCTTTCGGGTACTAATGCAGAAATGCAGTATTCGCAATAATTAATCTGAATTAAATAGTTATAGCAACTGTTAATTACATGCAACTAATTTTATCGATAAGAAAACTCTCATAAATATATTAAAGAAAACATTTGTATAACCTTTTCATGTTACATAAATACTTCAGAATGTAAAATTAGAATTTTGGGTTTAAAGGTATATTAAATTTATTTGAATTTAAAGGTTTTTTAATTGATATTTACAATGTATGGAAAAGTTAAAAAAGCTAATTCAAAAGTTCATAAAAACAAGTTGTTTGTTTTACGGAACTAATTTTCTCTCAATGTAAAAAAAATAGCTTTAATTTTAGAAATTAGAAAAAATTCTAACACTAATAAACAGTAATATTATGATAGTAGTAATAAATTTTCAAGAAAACCGTTCGCATTGGCTTTCTATTTTCAATGTATATGTTTCATTTCTAGAGCGATTTTGCTAGTTTTTATGTAATATAAATTAGTCTAATATAATTTGAAATGTATTGTATAAAAACTGCATTCACTAAGATTCTGCTATTATTTCTGTAAACCACGTAAGCAATATTTGATTCAGCTGAAAAGTCTTATATGTATTCATAAACATTTTGTAATCGTATTTTTGCTTGCTAGCACTTCCATACATCAGAACCCTTAACCACATTTTAAACATTAAACTGCTTAATTTCTCGAAACATAGTCATGCTTATTAAAATACTCATATATATATCAATAAGAAAGTTTTGCATAGATGGGAAGTTCATGGCACATCGACATTATTCATAAATCGGTTACGATTAAAGTATATATTAATGCATGTTTATGGAATATACATTATGGAATATTCCCTTAAGTTGAATTACAGGGTATCGCCTTTCAAATACAATAAAAAAGCATTAAATGGTCCGAAAATGTTGCTACGAAGATTTATACAAAGGTTTATATTTAAGAGTAAAAAAGGACTTGTCAGTCTCAAAATTCTGTCATGGAACCTTGCTAGCGCATTGCAAAAATAAAACCAAAATATTTTAAGACTTACTTAATTTACAGTTTGGAATCATTATTTCGCAATATTTTATTTCTCGCACCACAACCAAATTTTAAACTATGTTAACTGTATTTTAACATAAATATTTTGTGTTCTGGAACAGAAAAGAAAAACGGAATTTAACCAAATGAATACATATATTATTATCATCATATAAATATAATATCTTTGGATAATGTAAAATTATTATCTTCAATTTATGAAATCTGTTGCACAAGAGAGAACACTTTTATCACCGAATATAATGGTTACAATATTCAAATCCACAAAGTCTCACTTGTATATAGTAAATGCAAGTACATTTTACACAGTTCTTTTAGAACAGTTATTTGTTGCTAACAGCTAGCAACAGTTGTTATTGCTTAATAAGGAAGACTGTGATCAACTCGAGAATAAATTTCTCGAGATACAAATTTTGAAGTGCAACTAGAACACACTGAATTGCTATTTCCCATAACTCAAATCATTAGAAAGAAAACTATATCACTAAAAGCAATATAAATTAAATTTCAAATAGATTTTATATTCTCATCATTATATTTAATATCAATAATATATTTTGAAATAATTGAAAAAGGTAGATGAAGTCTTAAAATCTATTAATTCTTTTCGGTAAAGTTTTGTAAACCATTATTATTTTAAATAAATTATGTTTCTTATTAGATTCAAAATTCTACATTTAAGCTCTACATTTTGGCTTCTTATATATATATTTTTGTTTATAATATTTAATTTACTTTCGACAAAAATAATGAAATTTTAAAATTTTTAAGGAATTTATTAATAATTTTACAATATTTCGTCAACTTCTCATAAATTATCAGCTTAAAAGTTTTTAATAATATCATTAGTTGCTTTACATGGAAATCTTCAGTATTTTATCAAAATGTCATAGGAATGTCCAGTTTCTTTCAAGTTTGAAAAAAAATCATTTATCAGTTGAAAATTAAATTAAATAAGGATATACACACAAATTAGAAGAATGGAAGAAATATTTCTGTCTCCGTCAAGTTTACTGTCAAAGATAGCTGAAATTACATTTAATATGTATCTAATAGAACAAAAATACGAATAGATTAAAAAAAAATTCGTTGTTTAAAAAAAGAAATAATAAATTAATGTTTTATTCCTTCTTTTCACATAAATACTCCTAGCCGCATTAAAGTGACGCAATCAGTATGTTCCTAAATCTGTTGCACGACATCACGAAAATGATATACATGAACTAGAGAAAGGAATTTTGCCAAAGTTTCTTCTAAACGTGAATTTAAAAGTTCTCCGAAACACGAAAGAGTCCATCAGTCTCTTGCAATCTTTCTTCATCGTCCATTCGGCGGGCAATCTCATCCTTAAAAAACATCATGAAAAGAGTAACAGGATCTCGACAACCTGCGTCGTGTAAAATTCTCAGTCCTAATATCTGTTTATAAACCTTAATATCGTTATATTTGCATCTATTTGAGTAAAGGTTTTGTGTTTTTTGTTTCTCTTAAACAGTTTATGTCCCGATACATATCGACAGACAAAGGAGAAATCGGTGGGAATTCAGATTTGCATTGCATGGAGATTGAAGACGTTCAGATGTTCCAAAGGATAAGGTATGCATATCTGAGGCACATTAAGGTTCATACCTGGAAAAGAGTAGCCAAAACTCGGATAGCCTGGAATTCCTCGGCCATAACCAAATGTGGTGAAGCCGGCTGGAAAACAAAAACAAATATTTCTTAGAATATCCCGTAGCAATAATTGTAATTTACATCACATAAAGTATTGAACAAGTAAAAAAGTAAAACCTCAAAATCTATAATGAATTTGGTTTTCAAGTCAAAAGAATGTTGTTAAGATTTACAGCATGACAGTGGCAACTTCACCAGTTGGTAAATTACCGATATATGAGTGGTAGTCTTTAGACGCGTCAGAATAAAACTCGAAAGAAAATTTTAAATGATCCATATTTAGAGAGATCCATATTTAAAGTAAGAAACATAAAAGGAAAACAAATAATATGAATTATTATGTCAGAAATCGGTAGGTGTTCAAATTTACATTGCATGCAGATTGTAGACTTTATGAAGTTTATTACTTCACGTTTAGGTGAGATTTTAAACAGGGAAAACTTAAAATTTCATATAATTGCAGAGTAGTAAACTGCAGTAAAAATAAGTATCTCCTAACAGTCACTTTGATATTTTATTTTATTTTACGACTAATGTTTTGTACGAAAGCTTTCAGATAGTCTTCGGGATTTTTATGATAATACCAAAATAAATTCTTGTGAAACACAGCTCATTTGTGCGGAAATGAACTGAAATTAGAATTACCTGATAAATTCAAATAACCGACAATAAGACTAAATCAATAAATAATCAGCTAATGGGTAGTTTTGAGCAGGACGTAACAGATAAATGCGCAAAATTGAGCCATTACAAAGTAATTCAAGATTAAATGAGATGTAAGATCTAATTAGCCTATAGCTTTGATGTTAGACTTTAAAACCAATTGTTCATCCAATTGCAATGCTTTGAATAAGATTCTTTATGCTATTAGTAACTAATGAATACTAGAATAACATATGGTTGAATACAGAATTAACATATGGTTGAGTAGCAATGAAAAAGGGTTGGGATAACAGTTCCCCGCGTGAGCGTCTAATAACATATTTATTAAAAAGTATTTTCTAAAAATAATGAAAAATATGTATAGATGGATATAAATGGAGATTTTCATAAAAGATTCAGGAATTAAAAGGAGTAAGCGCACAATGATTCATTTGGTTTTTAAAATTAGATCTAATATACTTAAATATCTTCCTGAAAACCACATGGCATTCGTTACAGGCTTAAAAACTAAGATCATGGTGTAAGACTTGGATTAAGGTAAATTTCCAGGAATTTTTTTTCCACTGGTGGGTACTAGGCATTATAGACCGGAAGTGGTGGGCACTTTACTATGGAGGCACTTAATTGGTTAGCCACCGTTGCCTTCTATGAAGAAACAGACAATTTACATCTGTGCCTTCTCCGGGATTTGAACCCCGGCTCTTCGGTACGGCAATCAGCATCATTAACCACAAGGAAAAAATAATGAAACATAAATATATTATATAAGGATTATTTTTGTCCTTCTGTTTAAAAATTAAAGCATTATTTTAAGCAAACATGGTTACATATTAAAATAATCTTTTTTAGTATGTAATTGCTTAATGGAATAATCTATTGAGAAATAAAACCTATAAACTCATATCAATAAGGTTTTTCCTTTTGAAAAGAATGCAATCAGAACAACATGACTTTTGGGAATATCAATTGAAACTTAATGTCCAGTGAATATACAAGAAAAACAACAGCTGAAATCTAGACATAAATACAATGATTGAAATGTTGAACAAGGGTATTTTTCTCTTCAATTAATTAACTATCAAGAAGCATTTTTAATCACATGCCAAATAAACTGAAAATACATTTACATTTAAGAATCATTATAACCACTCAATAATTATGGTGGTTAGTGAAGGTAGATCGTAAGCTAATATGAAGTCGGGTCTAGAACTCAAGGGTGAGATCCATTTTTGTTTATCTTGAAGAGTAGAGGCGCTTGAAATGCATCGGGAAAGAAAGTACAGTTTGCGAAATCGTTCCTCTGAAACTAGCACATACTGTAAAATTTAAAGCATAATCTTTGGAAGCAGAAATTGCATAACAATAGTCAATAATATTAACGAACGCAATATTTATTCAAAATAGAAAGAAAAGTTAATCTTTCCAACTCAGTTCTTTTCAGTGATTACCTGCATTCATAACAGAAAATACCTCTACCAAAAGACAGAAGTTGTATCTTTAAAGTTTACTTAACTGATATAAACACGACAAACAAATGGTAGCTAGCAAAATTGTCACTGCGATATTTTTCATTATAAACAGCAAAAACATAAAGAAAAGTTAGTAATTTTTGTCTTCTTGATTCAATAGAAAGTTTTTCTTTTTTGCCCGGAAATGAGCTGGATGGTTATGCATTGAATTTTAAGCTTCCTTAAACAAACCAATGGCAATGAAAGACTGATTTGGTATCTTACTAAGCTTGAGAAGTTAAAAAAAACACGTATCAGAGACTGCTGCATTCAAACGACTGCTTAGTTGAATTCAAATGTTACAAGAACTGTTATACTCAGAGTGATTGCCCTTAAGTAAACGCTGTATTCAGATGTCTTGTTGTATGTGCAAAAGTACATTGGGCAACTGTAGAAATATTATTATTATTAAGTCATTGCCTGATTATATTAAACAAATGTTTTTTTTCTTTTTCTAACAGAGAATTCAAATTACATTATAAGTTCTACCTCATATAACATAAGTTTTACCTCATATAATGTTAAACTTAAAATAAAATTTAAAAACCTCTTTTCGGAAATTAGATTTAGTTGTAGCAGAATTCCTTTGTACTCTTTATAATTATCGTATTACAAACAGTACGTTTTGAAATTTTCCTTCGCGTCTTTTTGAAGCAGAATCTTAAAATTACTTTTTTAAGAATATAAAATAGTAAATATAAATTTTTATTACATAATAGATTGGGGTAGAAGGTAGTTAAATTTGATTAATATATTCTTTAGTAACACTATAATACAATTATTTGTTTTAGATTTTTTACATCTGTGTCGCATTACAATTTTCAGAACAGTTCGAAAGTAGCTCTAAAAATTCCTCAGCCACAGTCAATAAAGGCGTAATGTAAATAAAAATAAAAGGTTCAGTGATTCAGCCAACTTTAATGCTTTGAACAATCGTTTTATTTTTTATAAATCGATAATATGATTTTTTTGATAAAATAATCTCTTCCTAACAAAAGCAGATAAAACATATTTCAGTTTCAAATGTATTACTGAAAAATAATTGCATGAAAAAAGCAAATTAATTATTTTTCTATTACTAAAAATTATATGTTCCTGTTTTTTGTCTTAGCTCAACATTCTAACTTCTACTTCTAATATTGTATACTTTGATTAAAAGGAAACTGGCAAAAGCATATCATTTTGAATAATTATGAATTAAATGCGGTTTCTATCTCTTTGCCCACTTCTGAGCACCGGTTTCAGCATTTGCAATATGATTGGAATGTTTCTTGAAAGTCATTTAATTGAAAAGTGTTTAGACCTTTCCACCACTTGTCTTAGCACCACTGTCTTCCCATTAAATACTGACCTCCATGGAATCAATTCTTAAGATTAATGCAATGGGTATCAGAAATCTATACAAAGAACTAGTTTCAGAATGAAGGACTCCGATTTTCTAAACCAAGAAGGCCAAGAAACGCCAGGTTTTCAACGAAAATAATGTTGATGACGGTCACCGCCAAAAAAATGGATTATGTAGCCCTAATTTATTTCTCCAGGTCAGACAGTCGATGATATGTTTTACTGTGAACTTTTAAAATGACTAAAAAAATATATTTGCAACAAAAGATCTCACCTACTGAAATGATAGGATGGATAGGATAAGGTCGATTGACCGCAACAACCATAGTGCTTTGAAGATACTAAGCCTTTAGAATGAAAATAAAACCCGCAATCCTTATTCCTTTACTCACAGACTGAGCACCATAAAATGTTTTAATTGCTAAGCTGAAATATAAACTAAATCGTCCACATTTGATTCTGGAAGAGTTTAATTAAATGACTATCAGAAGATTCCAGTAATGATGCAGGTATTGGCTTTGATGCAGAAATAAAGAAGCGGACATTTTTTAGAAAGAAGAACAGAATTAAATGGGAAATTTAGCCATTTTCTTAGAAGACCTCAGAAGTTCTCAATAGAACGCGTTCTGCCTTTGGACCAAGTCCTTGCTTTAAGCCTATCGTACTACGTTCGGCCGTAGTCTTACGTGCCGGTTAGTATTCGCATGTGAGATTTAATTACGACCAACTCGGTTAGTTATTTCTGTACAGCGTCGGCTACGTTTGAGTTAGTTAGAATTAATTTAGTTTCTTATTTTCTATCTGAAGTTCAAGTGCAGGCTTTCTGTAGGCTCGAGAAGAGCCGACTGTATTATTTCTGTGAGTGAATAAAAGGATATTTTAACCATTTTTTGGAATAATCTTTTTATAGTTTCAAGAAGACCAGCGAACAGTCGTCAGACTTTCAGACTTTTTACTTAAAGTTCTAGAAGCGAAGGACACACAAATTAACTAGAACTTTATACAATGATTACTATATATTTACCTTTGTTATAAAAGAATGTAGAAGGATTTATCGACTAAAGAATAGTTCTCTGATTATAAATGTTAATGAATATCCATCATCAGCATTAAAAATACAGTAAAATTGACTATAGTATAATAAAGAAATCTGTTGAGAGAATAGAAAACCTATCTTTATTATTCATCGTTAGGCTGAGAAACTACAATGCGTCCCATTCATGGAGGTAAGAAAGGAAGGAGTAGTGGCAAAACCGGCATTAGAAGTGAAGCACTGCTCCGAAGCTTTGGTCACCAGATGAGGTGTTTTTTGTTTACATTCAGAAGCTTACTTGACAGCGTTCTGATAGTATTTCGACACTCGACAGTTCCACACAAATCAGAAAACGGGACACTTCCGCATAAAAGAAACATTCATAGTGTGATGGATAATAGCAATTTGTATAGTTTAGTGACATTTACGCAAAATCACATCTTGGTATTTTCGAACTAACTACAGCTATTTTGATTA